AAATTACGTTCGTATGTTCAAAACTTCTGAGGACGTATAACCTCAAAACATCCAACTTTACGATAGAGCTGTCAGTTGCCAGATTGCAACACCAGGGTTGCCAAATCCCGAAACTTAATTCGTTCAGGGTCGCTTGTTCCTTCAGGAACTCTTCTAGAGCTTTCTGGTCTAGTTTGTTCACGTTTCATGAGGGTTTAAGCTTCTTTTCCAGTACTTTAATTACCTGCGTTTTATTTTGTATGCCGAAGTCTATATACTTATGATCACAGAGAGACGTCTTCCAGAACCGTCCAGTTGTGTATTTTTCCCGCGGTTTTCCTTGAGGGCAGGGTCAGGACTATGATCTCGAGATGTATCTCTCGTAGGTTGCTACTCCCCCGTTGTTCAGCACCACGAGGTTTCCCCTAGCTACCATGTCAGTGGCAAGAGACCCTCTTCTGTCGCTTCTTGACACCCACTCCGAGGATTTCACGTTGAAGTCTCCGGCTATTAAGACTTCTCCAGTAGCGGTACGAATGCCATCTTCTAGATTATGCAGTTCTATTTTGAATGTATGAAAGGGATCTTTCGGTGAAAAGTAACAGCTATAGATTCGAACAGATCCTACTTTTATCCATACGAAGCCCTTGTTCTTCTCTTCGACCCTTCGAATTTTCAGACCGGGGTTGGGGATGAAGAGAGCTGATTTGCCGGATAGATCCTGGTACCATGTTCCTGAGACCGACCTCCTATATTGTTCTGATATTATGGCTGTATCTATTATTTTTCTTGTACTGTTTGCAGGAGTAGGTCTTGTACCTGCCTGCCTTTCCCTAGGTTTATTTGCAGGAATTTCAGCTCCATTGTTTCTTTTGTTTGGCTAGCGCGTTATAAAACTACGTACAAAATTTACTGCCCGTACGATGTTGGTGGATTGCATTGCTGTCCTTGCAGGATAGGCAGGCAGGCTCCGTATTATTTTCTTTGATGGTCTCCTTCTCCACAGTTCCAGCAGAGATTTCTCCTGTCGGGACCGTTGCATCGTTTGGCGATTTGGTCATATGCGTGATACCTGTAGCATCTGATCACCTCCTTACATACAGCGATACTACAGTATACCGTATCTATTGCGATTTTCTGTTTCTGCAGAAGAGATGCAGCCAAGCTCTGTGGCAATTTGACTATTGCCGATTGCAGGTCGGCGTACCCTTTCCTGAAGTAGCAGGCCATCTCCAGATCTGGTGCTCCTGTTTCTTTTCGGATGGCTTCCCTCACGCCATCTTCGGTGGAAAACTCCATTACATCTCTAATGACGATGGTCGACTGCTTGGTTAGGACTGCTACAATCGCTTTTCCTTCCAAGGTTTCTTTGAAGTTGTTGGGGAATTCTTCCGTTTTTCCTCGCCATCTTAAAGTCAGACCCACCCTCTTTGGGTTTCATCTTTGCGCTGGTTTCATTAAAGATGTCGACGTATGCCCACTTTCACTGTCACTTTGATGTCGTCATTTTTACTTTCTTTTTTGGTTTCTTTTTTACTTCTTGCCAGTATTCCTTCTTGCTCGTTTTCCTGAGGGAGATGTTCATCTGGTTCGCTACTTTCGTGTGCCCTGGGTTCATCTACTTCCCTTGTGCGGTATTCGGAGAGTTCCCTTCTTTGGCCATCCTCTCGAGGTGACTTTCTTTTCCTTTCGCCATGATTATTTTTCTTTTTCGGCACGGTTTCTGGTCGTTTCTTACCTATGTGTTTCTCCTTGCTGCACACTAGTTCTCGAGCTGATCTCGTTTCGATGATCGTACTGCTCTTCTCAGTCAGTATTTCAAATAATGTCATGGTCTCATTTAGTGCCGCTTTCACGGGCTTGTGGATATTGCGCGCGTCGGCAACGATGGAATGCATGAACGCAAGTCTTTTTTCTATTTCAGATATTGTTTCCCCCATATCTCTTAGATCAGTCTGCTAACAGTGTTCTTATGGCTGGGCATTCCTCCCCGGCATTTTGATCAACTTGGGCGTTCAGCGGGCTGGCAAAAAGGCTCGAGGTCCCTCGGTCCGCTTCTCGCCCATTTACTTCACGCGGTCACCTTAGAGCTATGCGCCATTTCCGCCATGGTTGTTGGGTCATCCACTCCCTTGGGGCGCTAGTGTCTACAGTGTGGCAACCGCACCGCCAGGGGGCGCTGAGGCTGCAGTACTTAGGCATCTATCTACCTACCTTTTTTACGAGGGGAACTGTGAAAATCTTCAAAAGACGAAGAGGCCCGCACTCCTCAACAGTGTTAGAATTTTACCCACTAAAACCACAAACCCTTTATGTTCCTGGCGTTAACCACCCTGGAACCGCAATTATGCATTACTTCAGGATGGTGCCAGCTCTATTACTTTGAGGTGCTAATCAGGTTCAGCTGTGACTGGTTTCTTTCGGCTTCTTCCTTCTTCTTGAGAATGACAGTGATACCTTTCTCTATTGCTGTCCTACTCCTTGTTACAAACGTTAGTGTAACCATGTTTTCTGGTGAGACAATACACCCGACCTCCCATATTATGCGATGCCTTAGCGTGTCCCATCTCGGGCAATGGAACAGCGTATGTTCGGCGTAGTCCACTTAATGGCTGCAGTAGAAGCATACTGCGTCTTCTGTCTTTCTGAACCTTTTAAGGTAAGCCTTAAAACATCCATGCCCTGTGAATGCCTTTGTTAAGTGGTATGTCACGGACCTGTGTTTGCGGTTCATCCATTTGGATACATTCGGGATGAGCCTGTGAGTACATCTGCCATTCTCCGCTCAGTCCAAGCGTTTCTGCCAGCGGTACATCACGTATTCTTCAGCTCTTTTAATTGCGCTATCCGTATCTTGGTGCGTTCGCCTTCCGTTTCCTTCTTGCTCATGGGAGTAGTCGTAAGCTTCTTTCCTTTCTAGAGGTCGTTCACGAATATTATTACTGATTATGTTGTGTGTGTGTTCTATATCTAT